GCCTAAGACAGACACCTTCAGAGCGAGGGCAAGGAGTGTAAAAGCTGTTGTACAGTACAGCACCCACACCATACATACATACATATACATGCTGGAGTGCATGTCTTCCCAGCATCTCGAGAGGCCTTTTTGGTGGCCAGCTAATACATACACATACACTGGGGGGATGGCTGCAGTCTGCTTCAGATCAGGCCTATATACTGCCAGCCATCATGAGCCATACCTCCTGTATGTCTGACCAGTACAGCGAGTACTTCCAGTGTAAACCCCTGTCCCACTCAGCCTGGCTTTGCGCATGTGATGAGCCACGAGCAATTCAATACGGTTGCGAGGAATTTAAATGTAGGACTAGAACTATCTAGAACAGAAGCCGCTAGTGTTCTTGATGTGAATGTAAATGTATCTGCCCTGTTACCACATAGCTGGTCTTGGGCTTTCTTCTCTGCCTATCTCAGCAGACTGCTAATGGTACTGCACTCTGGGAACCAGCTTCCCTTCGATACCCGGGAATCCCTTCATCTAGTTGTCGTTTCGTGCTCATTCGTGCTCAATTCATAACGAAGGGCTGAGGGGCCTTCAGAGCATATCGACGGAGTTCGGCTGAAATGGCCACTTAGCATGCAAAAGCCCTGTAATATCGCCATGCCAGTGATTGTTTTAATTACTTATGACTTTACAAATACTCCAAACATAAGGTTTCGTTAAGTCTGCGCTTGTCCCAGAATGAAGGGCTGTAGGGCCCTTCAGAACATACAAATGCACACAGCATCTGTTCGCAAGTCCAGCTTTCTGTTGAAGATGTAATAATAGCTAATAAAGATGGCCCCTTCAGTTAAAACATATCCACGTTACCTCTACCGCGGTCGACTGTATGCGTTGTCGAAATTTGAAATTACGTGTGTGTCCTGCGGACGCAAGTATCATAGCAAGTCTCATGCATATAATCACGTCATCACGCATCAGTGCGTCCAGCCTCATGGTGGTAATAATGGCACAGAGCTTTTTGTCCTCGATGCCGTGGCTCCTAACGAGATGATCGCTGGACGCAGTGAGAAATTGCTGCAATACATTGCCAGCTACTATGTATGGTTAAAATTTGCGACGTCCAATATTATGCAGATGAATGTCCTCAGCAACAAGCTCCCGTTCCGGCGGGCCCTTCGGTGGTTGGTGCGGGAGCACAGCCGCAAGCTAACAAACCGGACCAAACAGGTACAACAAACGAAACTAGCACACACGTCACATGTAGGACATTCATGGTGTCGTGGACGTATGCCCTGCTATTCCCAGGTGACGGATCACCTGGACACATTGGGGCGGATGGAGAGGTGGAGATCCGTATTGTTGCCACTGAAGAAGGAACGGTTGGCGACGGAGGTGCAGGTGAGAACGGATGGGAATGCAGGGGAGAGAGAGGGTAGTGGGGGTGATTGCGGCCACGGAGATGGGGGGGCGGGGATTGCCGCAGTGAAGAGGACGGAGGTGGAAATGGCGGCCGTGGTGACGGCAGGGGAGGTGAAGGGGATGGGGTGAACGGGGTGGTGGCGGGGTGGTGGTGATGGCAGCTCCAGTGACGGCGACTCAGGCGACATCACGGGCAACCGTGTCATGTTGCCCATGACGTGGCCTGAGTTGCCGTCACCGGAGCTGCCATCATGTGATCACATGCGACTGCGGGGATGATGATGAACCCTTCATGGTGTCGTGGACGTATGCCCTGCTATTCCCAGGTGACGGATCACCTGGACACATTGGGGCGGATGGAGAGGTGGAGATCCGTATTGTTGCCACTGAAGAAGGAACGGTTGGCGACGGAGGTGCAGGTGAGAACGGATGGGAATGCAGGGGAGAGAGAGGGTAGTGGGGGTGATTGCGGCCACGGAGATGGGGGGGCGGGGATTGCCGCAGTGAAGAGGACGGAGGTGGAAATGGCGGCCGTGGTGACGGCAGGGGAGGTGAAGGGGATGGGGTGAACGGGGTGGTGGCGGGGTGGTGGTGATGGCAGCTCCAGTGACGGCGACTCAGGCGACATCACGGGCAACCGCATCACATGCGACTGCGGGGATGACGATGAACCCTTCATGGTGTCGTGGTCGTATGCCCTGCTATTCCCAGGTGACGGACCACCTGGACACATTGGGGCGGATGGAGAGGTGGAGATCCGTATTGTTGCCACTGAAGAAGGAACGGTTGGCGACGGAGGTGCAGGTGAGAACGGATGGGAATGCATGGGAGATAAAACAGGTACAATAAACGAAACTAGCAGACACGTCACATGTAGATCATCAGCGATTTGAAGCTAGGTCCTCCCTGTCAGTACTGTCAGTACACTAGTGTAGGCGCCTCGTCTCCAGTGGCGGTGGACATGGAGTGGAGTCCGGAGTCCGCCGAAGGGCCAGGCGGAAATGCAGTGGAGCCCCGACAACCTAACAGGTGAGACCGTAGTCCATAAGGTATTTTATAGAAATGTTTCTCCTCCTTTTGCATCATCGGGTGATGTGAACACACATTGAAGAAGGGAGGAAGATAGCAAAGTTGGATATGGGGGGGAGAGAGGAGAGGGGGATGCGGGGAAGAGATAGCTGTATCCTATAGGAGGTGGGATGGGGGGGAGAGAGGAGAGGGGGATGCGGGGCGGAGGTGGAGATGGTGGCAGTGGCGACGGTGGAGGAGTG